GGCGGCGGCAGGGAGGGAGCGGGGTGCTGCTGGGGGGCAGGAGCCGGCCCCGGCCCGGGCACCACCCCCCGCGCCCGGTTCCGCGGGGAAGGGCCTCCCGGCCTCGACCCGCCTGACGGCGGGCGGGGGCCGAAGGGCGGCCGGTTTCGGCGCTTTTCTGCAATACTGAAACGGCAGCGGCTGGTGCGGGGGCCGGGTTCCCCCCCCTCCGTACGCTACCTGCAGGCGAAGGTGCGGGCTCGTACCCGCTTGCAGCAGAGCGGTGTTGGAAAGCAACCGACCGATAATGCTGGTTTACAGATGAAAACGACGCACGTGGATGTATTCAACCTCTTTTGCCCCGAATTGCAGGCAGCAGCCTCCCACGCGGCACTGGGAGACGTATCTGTGACGGTCTTTACCTTCCATTCCGCTTACAGCTTTTCTGATTTTAATATCTGCTAATTGCTCGTCTCTGTATGTGGTACGCTGTTATCGTTTTAAACTTACTTGTGAACACCCGCGTCCAGTGATTGAATTATCAAATCAGTGCAGATCATGCGTTACTGACCTTCAGAGGTAGCCGCTTTAATTAAATAATAGCTGCTAGTACACGCGATGCGGGGCTGTGATTGTACTTGCCTGCTGGTCCTGGAATAACAACTCTTATTTCCTTCCCGCGTAGAACGATGGCTTCTATCTCTGAGCGCACGTTCATCGCCATCAAGCCTGACGGAGTCCAGCGGGGACTGGTGGGAGAAATCATCAAGCGGTTCGAACAGAAAGGATTCAAACTGGTCGCCATGAAATTAATACATGTAAGCTTTCCTTAATTTGTGCATCTCCTTTTTCATATAGACTGCAGCCTTGAAATAGAGCAGCGCGCTATAATGACAAATGTAGTCTTCAGAACAATTAAACCTGAAATTTTGAGAAGTCTTTGAATATTTGGGGTATTTTTGGAAAAGTTCCAATCTCCAGCTCTGGCTAAATGCTTTAGACATGCTAAGCACGCTAATTTTAGTAACCTGATGTCCTTAGTCTGAAAAGAATATTCTTTTAGGTGCATCTTATACCTAATAAACATCTCTGAATATCTTCAAGAAATGCCAGGTCCCATAAGCCGTCTATATTGGTAAAAGATACTTTTCTAAGTTCAGCTGTGGTTAAAGCAAACGGTTCAAATTCATATCAACCAAAAGTACTCTAGGAAGATGCTAGAAATGCTGAATTTTCAATTGCGTGCAAGTTTTAGGATTAATAGTGCTCTGTGGTTAATCTATGTGATTTCAATATGCTCTTAAGTTCTTACAGTAAGCTTTTTTTGGTTGGTTGGTTGGTTTTTAATGCAGGCCTCTGAAGACCTTCTGAGAGAACACTACATTGACCTAAAAGACCGGCCGTTCTATGATGGTCTGGTGCAGTACATGCATTCTGGACCTGTTGTAGCTATGGTGAGTTCTTCAGAATGAAGCTCAGCTAAGAAAAACATACTGTTTAATTGTCTTACGTGCAATAAGATTGTGTTACCTATTGAATTCTAATTTACTTTTAAAAGTACTTAAAAACCTAGATTCAAATACTGTAATTAGGAAGATGTGCTGTTCACTCCTTCTTCTTTAATCTTTTTTTCATAATCTTTCTCTTCTTTGAGTCAGTATGTTGAAGAAGAGGGCAGGGGTAAAGGGGGAACCAAAGCTGGGACCCTGAGAAACAGTAAACCTGCACAAAAAATCCCAACAATGAAATGCCATGTATTAAGCAAGCTGAAAAAAGATGGTGGAATATTTTTACTATACTACTAAGCAATAGTAACTTTGAAAATCTTTTTTAGTCTAGGTTCATTAGAAGGGATTTTCTCTTTCTTTTTCCTTGATAGTGTGTTTGTAAAATAGTTGAGCTGGAGGTCTAGATCTTCAATGAGCAGACGGCTTTGTAAGGCTGTTTACCAAATTGAGATTTAAAATTGTTCTCTTCCAATCCTGGGTGAGGAAAGGTATTGTGGAGAAGGGGAGCACTTCAGCAGATGCTTCAAGAATCTGACAGAAAAACTGGAGATAAAATATGTCTTGCTATTACGAATATTTGGGTGGTGATTTGTGCCATGATGGACAGCATTGTGTAATGATTGCTACTTTACCTACTGCTAAGATTGAATAATCTCGATGGATTTTTTTTTTTTTTTTTTTTTAAGGTGTGGGAAGGACTTAATGTGGTTAAGACTGGCAGAGTGATGCTGGGGGAAACTAACCCATTTGATTCCAAGCCTGGCACTATTCGTGGTGACCTCTGTGTTCAAGTTGGAAGGTATACTTTGAAACTGTTGATATCTAAAGATGCTAAATGTCCAGTGCTATGTCATGATATATGTAGAAACTGTGCTCCATCCTTCTCTACCTTAAGCACGGAGCTGCCACTCCCTGTGCCCATGTAATGTTACGATCTAAAGATGGAAATTGAGTTGTGGTCTTCCCCATTGACAAAAACGATGAGCAAAGCTGGGACTGCATACTCTATGCCTATTACTAATTTACAATTACTTACAACTTCTCTCCATAATGGAGACCACTAAAAAAAAAAAAAAAAAAAAGAGTGCTTGCTTTGCTTTGAGTTTGAGGATTATATTACTTTTATATCCACCTTTTCTTTTCCTAGGAACATCATTCATGGAAGTGATTCTGTGGAAAGTGCTGAGACAGAGATCAATTTATGGTTCACTCCTGAAGAACTGGTTGATTACAGAAGCTGTGCTCATGAATGGATCTATGAGTAAAACTGAGCCTCTACCTTCTGATATCCTTACTGTCTGTAAGCAGCTGCTAGCCTCTAGCTGTTTCGAAGCCCTTCATATAAACCGATAGAAACATGTCTTAGAAATCTGTGAAATTGCTCTGTTGTGAATATTAAATATAGTCAGCATTTGCTGCTGCTTTGGTTAAAAAACTGTCAAGTTATAGATGGAATTGTACTTTCAAAAAGCTGCTTCTGGGGGTGAGAGATAGGAGATTAAAACACAGAGCATATAACACACATTTTCCTGAAGCACTTTGTAGTCAAAGGGGATAGTTTGGTAAACAGAAAAAGAAAATTGGTAAAAATTTATTTGGTTAGTAATTATGCAAATGGCTCAGTGTCAAAGGTTGATTATGTTAAAATGTAAGGGGACAACTGGTGATATGTAAATATATTGATAGTGTGCCCAAATGTTGAGGACTGAACTTGCTATCAGGTAAATCCCCATGCCCAAAATGGCTGCAGAAAAAAAAGCTTATTTATTTCTATCTCCAGAATGTGCTGTGCCTGTACACAGAGCATAGCTTTGATTAAAATGAGAACTTTCCTCTAGATGACACTGTTTCAACTTGCCTTTTTTTTTTTTTTTTTTCCCCCACACAGGATGTATTTAGCATTTTAAGGAAGGATTAATAGGCCAGGCTTTCTGAAATGCCCTTTTATGTGAAAAGAAGATTAATGTGAGGATGGATGAGGGAGATCTACCTTCAGCCACTTGAGTGTAGCAGTCCTCTGGCATTGCACAGAGCAACAACAGAGTGACATTTGCTTTACTGTCTGAAGAGCTGATAATTTAGCTATGTTCTTATTTGCGTTCTTTCCTTAACAGTTGGAACTCCAAAGCAAGCTGTTCTTGGATAAGGTATTTCAGAAGTGTCTCTAGCATTATTTTTTTAAATTTATTTAATCATGTAAAGAAATACAGCCATAATAATGCTAAATGTATTTCAGTAGAGGTGTCTGCTTATGTCAGAGAAAACTATCAGCCTCTTGCAGAAATCTGAATAACGAATATTCACTAGCTGTACTGGACGGGGAACAAGAAATGTATTGGGGTCAATATTATGTATTTATTTCCCTGCAACATTGTATTTGGTAAAAGCAAGAGTTTCACGAAATTAGTTGTTCCAACACCTAGATTTTTTTCCTACAGTGAGTTCTTGTTTCAAATACTAAACTGTGCAATGAATGCTCAATTCCATGCTTACGGTACTTTTTGAAGATACCCAACTCCTAAAAAGAGATGGTACAAAATGAAACAACCTTTGCTCTTTCTTGGGTGAAATAAAAGGAAATTTTCATTATGTTGTCTTAGATCTAATTAATGAATCTAAAGAGAGGGAACAAATTCCCTAACTATCAAACTGTAGATGAGGTTGTTAGCTTCTCTTCTGAAAGTCTTCAGTGTTATAGAAGATAAATAATTAAGTTAAAGGTTGTTAGAGAAAAGGGAACATGTGACAAACCTGTGCATGAGATGTCTCCAGTTCCATTTTTGCTCGAAGGATTACTTTCTAGGTTTCTTTATCTTGATTTGCTTACTACAAAATAGAGAAATCTGGGTTATCTAGAGATGTGGGGGTTGGCAGAAAGCTCCTGGTTAGTATTTCTAATGCAGCGAGACTGAGAGAAGGTGGAGGTCAGCCATCTCTCAGAGGAACGCACATCTGAGAGGTCTGACTGAGCATGTCCAGTTTCACTAATGGCAAGTGGCTCGTTAGTAAGAGACTGCATAAGTACTGCAAAGGGTATTTAATTAATATTACAGCTGCAGTGATGGTATATGATTATAACTAGCTCTGGGGGAGGAAAGGCGTTTTGTACATTAGTCAAGGGCCAAGCAGTAAATGTAATAAGAAGGAACAACACTCTTCCTAATTCTTGTTATGACCCGTGTCCTGGGACTGTGGAGTTTTACACCTGCGCTTTGACACTTTGTGGCTTCATCTTCCCCTGTGCCAACCAGATCACTGATGACCTCGCTGGCTTTTACAGATCCTAAGTTGCTTTTCTGTGCGAAACAGAATTTCAGGCAGCTGTAAGGCGTGCCGCTTCGGTTAAGCGAGGCTGGCAGTAGCAACGTTAGCGAGCAGAGGGCGGGCATCTCTCTGGAAATAGCAAAGCGAGTCCCTCTTAATAAAAACTGGTTTAGTCTAGTTAAACCTGCCCGATCTTTTCACTGGGGAAAAGGCTTACGGCCCCGTCGCTGCAGCTGAAAGTTAAGAACCCTCCGAGGAGGCGACGGCGACAGGTGCCGCCGGCCCTTGGGCGCAGCCCGGCGGGCAGCTGCCCCCGGGCCGCCTGCCAGCCG